AGAGAGAGAGAGAGAAATCTTACGGCGCCTTTGATGTTGTTTTCAACACTGCCCACGGGCTATCGAACGTCGTGGTGCCCATTCAGCCTTAGCAATGGTGTTGGCCAAGGAATAATGTCAAGGAAGATTTATATGTAAAATTGGTTTCGACAGATGATGGTTAATATTGCTTGAGAATTGGCTCTGGAGTGGCATGCATACATCTATGGAAAATTTTTAATAATATGGTAATTAATGTATTTTTGGACAAATATAATTAAAAGGCTTTCACTATAAAATTATTTTCTATTGTTAAGTAAAGTATTGTAAAGCGCATAATATATTTACTCAAATAATTGATTTTCTATAAACGATATTTTTAATTTTGAAAAAAAAAAATCTAATAATTAAATTCTATTTCTGCGATATGTTCATTGTATCGATTGAGAAAAAGGAAGGGAGAGTAAAATTTCCTGGTAATTATAATAGATAAATAGGTGGAACAAACGAGGCAAAGGAAAAAAGAAACAATGCGTATATTATTCTGCAGTATACCCTACTGGTTAAATATAGCATCATATTTCGATATCACAATTTCACCGGGGGGTGTTTTCCCCGGTGCTGCCCTTGAGAATTTAAAGAAACTGGGATAAACGGCACCCCACGTTGCGCCTATTGCACAGCCCGGATCGCGATTCAAACCTCGATGATTGAAGGCATAAAGGAAGACAAACAACGGATTCTTGGGGGAGCAGGTGAAATAACTGCCGCTCTTAAGCTCACATTCGATTGTTATAATTGGTGAAAGTGATATTTTTTTTATAAAACATATTTTAAAAAATTAAATTATATTTATATCAATCAAGTAAAAGTACAATTTAAAATTAGTTTGAATCATTTTCAAAAATATTTGAAAATTACAAACTTCAACAAAAGTTTGCCAACTTTTTAAAAGTTGAAACTTAACATAAAATCAAATTCTTTTAAAAAACTATATTATAATATGGTCAAAAATCATTGTTCTATCAGAGATTCTATCTTCTTGTCGTTTAAAAGTAAAGTTAAAAAAGAATCAAGGAAGACAATGAACGAAATAAATTTGTAAAGTGAATCTAATGCACTGACCCTTCCATATATCTGTGAAGAGACCACGTGGAAGAATGACAAGAAAATACGAGTTTCTCGCGCAAAGAAGAAACAAGAGGGCAGTAAGAAGGGGTTCCGCGTTGGGGGATGGCCGATACAAGTGGGACATTCAAGAAAGGGGTTAGGTCCCATACGGTGACAACGGCAAAACTCGAAACGACGTCGTCGGACTTGGCTTCCGGCCATTTCCTAGCTATCGATCCACGAAGCGTTACGACGAAGCGCCCTACGTGCAATTATAGGTGTATCGTGTGTATAATACGACCCTGGTGCATAGCCGGGGGATAGATCGTCGGCGTACAAGGACGATCTCCGAAATTTGGCCGCGACATCGAAATCGCGAATTCTTCGATAGCCGCTTGAGAAACGCGGCTATTGAGGACAGTTGTACTGTTGCTTAAAATTGTTCCACCTAGGAGAATTTCAAAAACGGGTCAAATTTCATATAATAAACATTATAGCATTATATGTATGTTATACTTATTACATATATTATATATACTGGCAATAATAAAATTATATAATTTATGTAATAAGATATTTGTAAAATATTTATATTTTATTTGATTAAGCTTTAACATAAGAAAAAATGAAAATTTGAATTTAAATTAATATTATTCGTTAGAGTTAAACTGTTAACAAAATTTCGAGATTTGTATAATTTGAAATATTATTGTCTATTTTATTATCTGAATAAACGCATTTCACTGACTGAACAAATATAAATATTTATATTGAATAATAATAATTATATTGAATAAGTAAGCAAAATATAAAATTATTATTGTAATAATTATTTCTAATATATTTTGAGTAAAGTGGCATGTAAGAAAGACACAGTTCACCCACCCTATGAATGCAACACAACGATGCGTTTCCACGTATACGTGGAATCGATAACTGGGAATTAGTCTGACAGGCTGTCTGCCAGAACCAAGTATGTACTTACATACATCTACGCAAAAAAACCTTGCCAATCATGTTAAAATAATTATACCATGCAAGTAATTAAGTTAAATATAATTAATGCACACTTACTGACTGAAAATTATTACTAGATTAATATTATTTTTCAATTTTTCCTTTTATATTAAGTTTAATAATAGAGTACTCTCTTCGAATAATCTAAGTAACAAGAAGTTTTTATTTAAAAAATCGATAATGTTGTTATTTTCAGTTTCGATATTATCGACTGTTTTAATTTAAATTTCCCAAAAAATTTTCGAATCAAGATTAAAATCCTTCTGTTAACTTGCAGATTTTATTTTTTAATTTTAATGTACAAATTTTATTAAAATTGAGATTCTTATTTAAAATACTGACCTATAAATTAAAAAATGTATAAGTATATTTTAGATTACAATTAAAATTATATTATATTTAAAATAAATTATAAAAAAAATAATAAATACGTCAAATAACTAATATGAAAATTAATGTTTTTTAACATACTTTTAAAAAAATTCAAAAGCTTAAAGTTTCGAATAAAATTTAACAAACTTCGATCAATAGTTTCATAACGGAAAATAAAGATATAAATCCGGAACAAATAAACGATTTAAAATTAGGTTATCATAACCAATTCATTCGTGAAAGTTTATCTTTTTATTTTTCTTTGATTCCACCTAAATATCATTGTTCGTATCACTCTGAAATATGTAGGAAAAAAAATATCAGCCAACAGAAAGACAAACTACAGAACAAATGAAAATATATTCGCACAAACTGGGCCGTGAAAGCTAACACAGAACCGAGATAAATAGAGGATCGCCGTAGTCGGTACCGAGGATCAATATGTCACAACCACAACACAAATACAGAAGACATACATATACATAATCGATAGATATGTATATTGTTACACTATATCGATTATTTTTCGATTATCGATTATAAAAAAATACTATATTCAGAATGATAAAAATAATTTAAATATTATTTGCAATTTATATATAACTTGTAATTTTTATCTTTTTTTAACTTCGAAAGATGAAATATTTTCTTTTTGCTCGAAATATAATTAATAATGTGATAAAATTTATTTGTTCACATTTATTTATTATTGAAATCATATATCGAAATTTATAAGCAAATAAATACTTTCAAAACATTATATATAAAAAACAATAACAATTTTTATATTTTATTACCGTTATTAAAAATTATTATATTTATTCATTTCTTCTTTTTGTTATATGCAACTTTGTAAATTTTTTTAAAATTTATCATTAGATAAAAGCAATATCTATCGCTTTCGATATTATCGACCGATTTTGCCACGTAAATGGCGCTGCAGTCAATGTGTTGAATAATATATTTTTACATGAATATTCGATCAAAAAATTGGGAGATTTTTAAAGATAAAAAATTGATATTATCATTAAAAAATTGTATTATACTTTTTTAGTCATAATTAATTCAATAATTTGATTTAATTCAATTTAATTCAATTCAATATCAAACGATATTGAGAACAAAATCGTAAAACGCACTTCACAATACTCTACAAGCAATATCCAATATTCTTATAATAATAAAATATGAAAAGGCACTTGATAACTAAATTGTGTGAGTACTTTAACACACGATAAATTAACACTTTTTTTTCGATCGAGTTAGTCTTCTCAAGTATCTTAATTAGATATAAATATTTAATTTGAATTTACTATCCTATAATTATTTCGAAATACAAATTCAAATACACAATATAAAAATTATTAAACACGTAAATTTTTGTTTACATTATTCATAGAGAATTATAAAAAATTATTAAATGAATTTTTTAGTCAAAATCTTATTACGAAATTTTTAAATATTAATTCAATAAAAAATGAATAGTTTAAAGTAATAGCACCATATTAAGGAAAGTTATTATAAAGTGTAATATAAATATAAATCGTTTGGTGTATATTATAATAGAGATTATACGGTATTAAAAATACCTTCTCCTAACTGGCCTACATACATTCGATCGCGAATGTTAAAAAACGCGTAGAATTATAAATAATATTTTACAAAATTTGATATTTTCCTACACTTCTGTCTTACTTTTTTTTTTTTTTCTTTTAAACTCTTGTCCATAATAATGGATTGTTACGATATTGCATTTCATGTAGGAATATCATTTATCGAGATATGATTCAATAAAATTATCAATTTCAATTGAAGAAATCTTCTACCTCTGCTAATTCTCTTGCTCGGGCTTGTTGATGTGCCCAACGTTCTTCCGCAAGTTTATCGCTTACTCCCCATTTTTCATGATAAATACGTTGTCCACAAGTTGGACATTTTTTACCCCCTATAATAAAATATAAAATATTATTTATAACATGAAAATAAAAATGAAAATTAATTATGTAGTATTAGTATTATATACCATGGAATGGAGGAGTCTTCATGAATGTTACAAGACATTGTAAATGAAACAAATGTCCACAATAAAGTCTTTCTACATGCATATCTGCAGTTTCGTTTATTTCTGCATTTTCTGGATTGGCTGGCAAACATATTTGTCTGCATGATTGACAACATTCTTGTGGTAATGTTTTTACACACCTGGATGAATAAAATTCAATATCAGAATAATAATAATTTTAATATATTATAAATATTAATGAATAAACATACTTTATAAGGAAAGTAGTAACAACTTTTAAAGATGGTGAAGGTGTAAAAGGTATTTGTTGTTTTTTGTTAAGTGGTGGTTCTACACATTGTCTAGCTAATTCTTTTCCTTGACCAATGAAGTGACGTGTAAACAATGAAGGAAAATTTGTATCTGCATCTTCCAATCTAAATACAGAAAAAATTATTCAAAGAAATGTACTTTTATTTAATTATTATTAAAATTAATATTTTAAATCATCATTGACACATACTTTACACAAGCAACTGGATAATTATCTGGTACTTCAATTTTAGCTTTAAAATAATATAATCCTTGTTGGACCTTCAAACCAATACACGAATGTTTCTGTTTCAATTTTAATTCATCATTATTTTCTAAGATATTTTTTATGGCTGAGATTTCATCGTAGCAACAAATTAAAGGATTTTCATCAATAAAGTTACGAATGAATTTTAATATTGGCAACACCTATAAAAATAAATTTATATAGAAAACATTGTTTCAATTAATAAATTCAATTATTATATAATACCTGTGCTTTTCCTAATAATTTTTTGCATTCCTTTTCACAGACTTCTGTTAAACCATCAAGCAATTTCATAGATAGAGTTTTGCTTTTCAATTCAATTAATAATGGAGTATAGGGATAGTCTTTAGAAAATTGGATGCACGCGACAATTGTTTTGAACTTTGTTTTTCTGTGATTTCAACAAATATTATAAATAAGTTAAAAAATTTATAACATTATCTATAAATTATATTATAGATATAATCTCAAAAAATAAACGTACGTTATTTCCACTCGCACCATCGTGCGTACACAAGAAACGAGGCGACTACTATCAACAACATTCTGGCAAAGTTTTGATATTTCTTGTAATTCATCATCGATAAAGCCCATGAGAAAAATGAAACAAATATTGTTTCACACTCTAGTAGCCTCTTATTGGTTATGTTATCAAATATCAAACATCTAAAAGGGCAATATAACAAAACTAAATTATTCTATAAAAAAGGCAATATAGACAATCCGTCGTGTTTCAGTTTAATTCTTGAAAATTACAATTAATATATAATCACTATCAAGGTCAGTCAAGAAACTTGTGGTTGATTTACACATTTGTATTTTGAAACATGGATCATAGATTAACAACATAGTTATTTTCTCCATGATGTAACATTAAGTAATAGAATAATATTATGAAATAAGAAATGTTAGAGAACAAAATAATTCAAATTCATTATTTATGGCTTTTTTACCCATTATAATAAAAAATATATAAAATAATCGAAACGTATAAAATTACATGATGATTTATATTCAATATTATATAGTATAAATGTAGTATATGGTATATAGTATAAATGAAAATATATTCTTTATAAATTCTAATAATATTTCATATAAATACTATCAAATAATAATTTCAATAGTTTCATAATAGTCATTTCATATAAATATATATTATATTTATAAATTTAATGACTATATATATTTATTATTATAAATCAATACCATGTAAAATAACCTGTAAAATAAAATATTTTTAAACATGCATAACTTTTAATTCTATGCATTATTTCGATTTTTAATATTAAAATTGTGATTTTTGAAATCTATCCATCAAATTTTATCAATTTGGAAAAAACTTTCAAAGTTATGTATAATATTAGAATTAAAGTTCAACTTAATATAATTTTATAATATAATCCGAATGATATTCTTCCTAAATAATAGAAGTCAACATTTAAGTTTTTTATTTATTAGATTTTCATCTAGTAATATTTAGTTAGTGCCGGAATCAATCATAGAACGAAGAGTGTCTATTTGTTCTTTTTCTGAAAAATTGAAAATATAGCTATGTCTAATAAAAATGATAAATCTATCTGATATATTTATGATCTAATATAAAAAGATAGAAAATAAATATCTTAAAATAATATATACATATTTTCGTTTGAAAGATATAATATAATTAATATGTAAAAATAAATATTTTCCGATTATATAACATAACCTCCTATGCTAAAAAAAAAAAGAAGAAAGTTTACAAAGAATTAATTTCGAAAATTTTATGTTTTAAAAAATTATTTAAAAAAAATAATGAATCTTTAAGTAACATACAATTTATATCATTTAAATTTATATATTTGCTTCAGTGTATAGTTTATGTTGTATATCCCTAGGCAATTCTCTCATTGTAAAAACAAAATCCATTCGTTGGTGTTTCTTTTTTTGTTTTACGCAGCTTTGCTATAGTAAAGAAGTTGCGTAAAGTAAAGAAAGAAACACTGCCGAAAATTGTTAAAACTTATTTACATAATATGATTATAGTACCAACAATGGCTCAATTATTATTGTTTTCAATGATAAAATATTTTAATTAAGTTAAATCAAAATAATAATTCGAAGAATTTTCTGTTATTTACAAACTTGTAAACTAAAATAAATCAAATATTAATTCAAATATTTTAAATATTTTTTAAATATATCTTTAATATATAGAAGATTATTGTCATAAAATTGTAATATTACCACATATATGGAAAATTAAAATTAAATTTTGTTTAAATAAGAAATTTAAAAATTTAAATTTAAATTTCGAACTTTGTTTTTGATAAATTTTTACATTATGTATTATTTATTAAAATATTTAAATCATTTCATATAAATTTTCTGAATTTGGATGAAATTTTTAAAGAAAATAATTATAAAATTATTGAAATAATCATCTAAAGTTTTGAAGCATTTGATATAACATAAATTGATAAATAATAAATAACAAATAATTATACATTTTAATATTATTAATTTTAATTAAAATAATAATTTTAATTATAAGTTGTTATATTTAATTTTAAAGCATTTTTTTTAAATGTTTTTCATATTATAAAATTTATTCATAATAATGCACAGATATTAGTTTTATCATAATTTTAAATTTTCTATTCTTGTTTTTTAAATTATAATAAAAAATGAGAACATTACAATAACCACATATAGCGAATTAGAACAACAATTGCTTAATGGAATAATAGAAAAACATAAATCAGATTTTTGAAAATCTGATTGGATAGTAATTGATAAAATTAATTGATTAAACATATAATATATGTATGATTATATATGTTGCAAAAGGAAATAATTTCTATATTAAATGATGTAAATGATTTAAAGAATTTTAAGAAATTTAATTAATCAGTTTAAAAATGATTCTATTTATATGATTAATAATTTCCAAACAAAAAAAATATGAAACAAAAATTAGATAAAGTTGAAAAACAATCTAATATATTTATTGAAAAATTTAAAAAACAAAAACATTTTATTTCATAATCTGAAATATACAATCAAATTTATAGATTTTTTTTATAGAATTATTGTTCTATAAAATATATTAACATTGATATCTCATATATAATCCAATATGTAATATTTTTCAAACGAGTTATCAATCTTTTAAGTAACAATAATTTAAAAGAAAATTAATATTGATTCCATAATACAGATTAAAAATGCAAGAAATAACAAGCAAAATAAATATACCATGATATCTAATATATGTAATTGAAAATTATCATTAATATATATTAGAAAAAGAAAAGTAAAAAAAGAAATCTAATTTATTATATGCAAATGAAACAGATAATTATTTAGAAAAAGTATATAGTTTTTTATACGCTAATAAAGCTATTTATAAAAGATTACTTCTTGTAATAAAAATATATCGATTATATTTTATTAAAATCTTCTAAAAAATATAACTTATTCTATATTTTTTACAAAATAAAATTAATAAATAATATATATGTACATGTGTGTGTGTGTACTTAATTAATTAAATGATTTGATAAAAAATATTTATTTTAACTCTAAAAATTTCTAACTATCATAAGCATATAAATATGAAAAATAATTATATTTAAATAGTAGGCATTAACATGAGTACCTTAAAATTCCAGTTATTTATACTTTGAAAATGAAATTTTAAATAATAAAATAATAAAAAATTTATTATATTATAATTTGTTATATGATTCTGTTTCTATGATTATATATTTTTCCGAAATTTTAAATAATTTTAAGAACAAAAAAAAAGTAATTAATTAATATATTGTATTTATAATAAAATACTATATGTACTAAATATGTTACTAAAGGTTAGAAGTATGTAGTAATTTTACTTAAAAAAAATAAAAAATATAAAATAATATTAAAATATTTTTAAATTAATATGTATGAAGCTAATTTCATAATTCATAAATGAGATATGTGTTAAAAAATAGAAATCAATAAATATATATTATAAATTTATATTAGATTTTTATCTAATAGTATAGTTTTATCTAGTAATATTTAGTTAGTGCCGAAATCGATCACAGTCTAGAACGAAGGGCGCTGTTTCTTGTTGTCGTTTCTCTCAAGAACTGAAAACATGGCTGAGGTATGATGCGATGAATATATCCAATAAAATCTTTTTCATCTAGCATAAAAAAATAGAAATAAATACTTTAGAATAAGATATATGTATCTTTTTTGTATAAAAGATATAATATTAATATGTAAAATATTTTAAAATAAATATTTTCGTAACATAACCTCTTATATGTTCATATAATTTTCAGGCAGAAGAAACTCAAAAGAAAAAGAGGACTTTCCGAAAGTTCACTTTTCGGGGAGTTGATCTCGATCAACTCCTTGATATGCCAAAGTAAGATTTTGTATTTCATAAAATATATAAATATATTTTTTATTTTTTAATTGTACATATTTGCTCCAGTGAACAGCTTATGGTTTTAATGCATGCCCGTGCTCGAAGACGATTTTCTCATGGTTTAAAAAGAAAATCCATGGCTTTGGTAAAAAAGTTACGTAAAGCAAAAAAGGAAACACCACCGAATGAAAAACCAGAAATTGTTAAAACTCATTTGCGTAATATGATTATTGTACCAGAAATGGTAGGTTCAATTGTTGGTGTTTATAATGGTAAAACATTTAATCAAGTTGAAATTAAACCTGAAATGATCGGTCATTATTTGGGAGAATTTTCTGTTACATACAAACCTGTAAAGCATGGTAGACCAGGTATTGGTGCTACTCATTCTTCAAGATTTATTCCACTAAAGTAATTTATATTTGTAATGTGAATAAACTGTATAAAAAATAATAAGTCTTTTTTCTAAATATTTTAAATATCCTTAAAATATATGTAGAAGACTTAAAATTGTAATTTTAAGTCATAAAATATATACACATATATTGTAAATGTATATATATATATATATACTTAAGTTATGAACTTTGTTATTGAATTACATCTTTTTGTTGTTAAAATATTTAAATCACTTCATATAAATAATATAAGGATAAATTATCATTAATTGAAATTTAATTTTTTAATTGTTATACATAATCATATGCTATACACATACACATACACACATACATATAGGTTATTTCTTTTACAAAAAATATAATAAAAGAATTTTTTTTAAATTATTTATTTAATGCATATTATTTAATCCATATATTTCATTATTATTTAATTCATATATTTCATAGAATTATTAATATTAATTAATCGTTTTTCTAGTATAGAAAATATATCGATGAACTATTCTAGAAATGTTATACTCTATGGCGTATTGTACTTTATATACTTTGTAAATCTAACCTAGTGTAATACACGTGTTTTACACTAAAATTTGAAGTTCAATTGGAAAAGAAGATAAAGAAGACATTTTTTATATTTAAAAAATCATGTTAAAATTAAAATAAGAAATTCTAATAATTTCTTAAATATAATAATATTATAAAAATGTCACGAATTGCTGATACAAAGGAAGTTGTAGTGACTAGTGACAGTAATAATGAACATTGGAATGCTGCCGTGTGGGATCATCGGACAGGTTCTGTTTTATTGAGTTATAAAAATGGTGGTACTCTCAGTCATCGAACTCTTCAACTTTTAAATGATAGTTATATAGTGGGTGCTGATTTAACAAAACCGCGTATACATGTTTGGCCGCTCAATAATCACTCTCCTGTCTCTAACCTCAGATTAACAACACCGGGTAAAGTTACTGCTCTGAAATTTACACCGAATAGTGCCTACATTGTTGCAGCTATTTCTGAAAAATTATTTATTTGGCAATC